GTGATGCATGTGTTTAGACCAGCAGCTTAGGATTTAAAAGCAGACTAGTTATTTGTCTGAAAGACAGCTTATCTAGTGTTTTTCAGTTGTTAAAAAAGATTGGGTGGGGGGGGGGCTAAACGGCTGTAAATTGATCATAACAGTTTGTGATGTCAGATGCTGAGTCCACAGGATCTGTGGCCACATAAGGCACAAAGCAAGCTTACCACGCTCCCATCAGTGTAATGTTTTAGAAAAATACAATATGCTCAATTTAGAAAATTTTGTTCGTTTCAAAAATAGTTGTTTTAAAGTTCTTAATGGCTTAACTTCACCTCCACTTTTAAGTTAAATTAAACCAAGGACTGACGGAGGTTTTAGCACTAGAGCCTCCTCCAGAGGAGACCTAGAGGTTCCTCATAGGAAAACAACCTTTGGACAAACTATTCTGTCAGTCAAAGGAGGTCACTTTTGGAACAGTCTCCCAACAACTATAAGGGATTATCCCAGTTATTGTACATTTAAAAAAAACATCTCAAACAGTTTCTTGAAAGTTCCCATTCATGCACTTAATGAATAATTTTAAATCCATTCTTGTATGTAATTCTCTGGACATGTATTTGTGTTCTGCATGTGTGATTGTATATTGTGATCTTATGTTGTTTTTTTCTTGTGAACATCTTGTGTTTTTTATTTTTTATTTTTTTCCCCTTCCTGCCTCAGGATTACAGATGTAAATTAGCWACTATGCTATAATCTGGCTCATTTACAGTCTATACAGAAGTATAAGAATGTTCATTAATGTGCACTGTCCTGATTAAATAAAGAATATATGTATATACCCTGACAAAGGTTCAAATCCATGCCCGGAGGAAGTGTGTTGATTGCCTTTCAGTCTTTGTCACATTAAAAAACAGACTCTTCCTGGAATCCTGCTCCTGTTATTGAAGGGAGTAAAAATGTTGCTACGCTAGTTATGAGAAGATAATCTTTGTTTATTACCGTTTTTGTAGCTATTAAGTGACTTTGAGTATGATAGTTCAAAAGTTGAGTTTGGCATTACATTGGTTAATGTTACACAGCAGGCAGTGGAAGGTTGTCTTTTCAATAGTTAAAAAGGTTCACAGAGCTTTACAAGCTGCATAGATATGTCWCACATTGGTGTGAAAGCACACTTACAGTTAAACATAAAATATTTTATCTGTGTCCTCGTGACTCACGTCTCTGAACAGCCAGTAGCTGTTCACTAATCTTGGATGTTACTTCTAGTATTTTTTAGTTTGGACTTGCCGTGTTATTCTGGAACAAATGGTAACAAAGACCTGAATGATAAGACCTTCTATTCCTTTTATTTTTTAATTTGTTTGATGCCACTTGTTCCATTTTAAAGTGTAGCGTTTGAGCAATAAAATCCAATCTTGTTTTTTTTTTCCTCCACTTGACAGCTTACTTAGGATTTCAAACATGGGTGTTTTATGTTTGGTGGTCACTTATCTGCCCTGTGTGTAGTTGTTTTTAAGAGTGATGGGCCTTATCTTAACAACAGCAATAATCAACAGTGCAGCAGAAATCATTACAGCTTCAGTCTCATCTGGATAACGTGTAATGACAGTCTCAGTCTACACCGTCACAGGGGAAAACTTGCATAGCTTGTCCTTGTGAACTCTTTTTCAAAATGGCCAGGCATCCTTTTTCCTTCTCTTCCCCAGAGGTTAGCATATCCATTTAGTTTCACTGCTTGTGGACTGAATGAAAGAGGAAGTGGTCAGCCCTCCTTAATGGAGTTGCACGCCGAAGTCTTGATTTGTTTTGCGCTGTAGGATTTGTGCGGCTAGAAAGCGCTGAGCGTTTCGCAGGGAAGCTGCTGTCAAACGAGAACATGCCAGCCTAAATCTTAATTACGTCCACTGTGCCGTTCTGCCGTCGCTATCATTTCAATCACGTCTATTTGCAGAGCTTCATGTGAACGTTTGTGGGGGGGAAATTAAATCTGATGCTGGAATTTGATCTGGGTCTCAGTCCGCAGTCTGTGTTGTTGATTCATGTAAACCAGAGGAAAGCATTGGTAGCGGTGTGAGTCACCCCTGCTTTACAAACACCAGTCTCAACCGCTGACAAGGTAGAGAGAAGCTGGTAAACATGCAGCTCACATGCGGGGAGCGTGTGCGAGTGTCACCTCCGAGGAATCAGAGAGGCGATAGCGGGATCAAAGAGGCTGTTTCTGACCATACAGGAGGAGAGATGCTTCGCAGTGCGAGGCTGCAACGGCTGTCTGGCTTTGCAGAGGCTGCTGAATGTTTGACAGGGCATTGGAAAAACATTATTTAATCTGCCTGCATGATGGCCCTCACTGGGATTGCACCATGCTGCGTCTCTTGCCCCCTCTTTTCCTCCCCATGTCAGGGATGGCAGGAGCTGGGTGGTAGAATAACACTTTGAGGTCGTCGGCGTGTTCTTATTTTAACATTATGATTTGATGCATAAAGAAGAGGAGAAAGGCGAGTTGTTTTTGATGCCACGTTTCCAGGCTTCTCATTTCTTCCTAATGAGAAAGTCTGCTGGGGTCTTTATCGTTTCCATTTGGGTAATAGTCTGAATAGCTGAGTCGCATTCCATTGTAATTACAATCGCATGATCTAGTTGTTATTGTAATATGTTATTTGAGTGAAAACACATTGACTCGTTTWAAAAAAAAATGCTTCCACATCTTTAGCATATAAACAAAGCAGAAAGGCTTTCTTTCTGTGGCTTAGCTGCATAAATCTCAGCCTTATGAAAGATATTACTTGTAGTACCCCTCCCACTTTTTACTGACGACACTTTGCACATTGTCTTGTTAAAACGCCGTGTAGAAAATCGATGAAAAGTCACGGCTCTTGTGTCATTGTTGGTAGCACTTCCACCTCCTCTTCGTTCTGAAACTCGGTCGTGGTTTTGAGGCGCGACGGTAAATCTCTTCGTGTTTTGTTGAGTCTGTAAACGKGTTTCATTTCTAAATGGAACAAGCTCACGCTGCACCTCGTGACCTTTTGTCCTTGCAGATGGTCCAGCAAGACATTTACTTTAGCCACAGTTGGACATAGTATCTGCTAAGGAGGCAGTACCCTCTGGTGGGTGACTACAGAAATGGGCGATTCATAGAAAATCAAACTGTTTTGTGTGTGCAGGGGGGAAAAACGAGCGATATCTTTTAATTAAAATAAACCTCAGGAGCAAACGATGGGTTTAGAAACCAGGATAATTGAAAATAGGCTCTTTCTGCTTTCTCCCTCCCTCCTATGTCTGCACGTCCTTAAAGCATCTGAGCCCATCAGAGGGCAGTTTTCTCACATGTTAAGTGGGGGGTGGGGGTATCTGCCCTTGTTAATTCAGTGCATGGTCATAAAGTGGAATAGCGGTCCCCCCATGGCCTGCCTGCTCCGAACATCCTCAATTGCCTGCATGTCCTCTTTACCTCTTTGTCCTCCCGGTTGACTGTCCCTTTGACACCGGCAATAACCTTCCAGTCTTGATGTGAGGGTTTAAACTCTGCTGATGTCTGAGGGAGATGGTGACAGTACATAAATCATCATGTGCCAGAAAATTACATTATMTCATGGCTGTCATGTTTAGTTTCATTCACCAATTTTGAGTTTTAGGTACTTGGAATTGTTCTTTGTCTAATTTTCTGTGCTTAATTCCACCCAGATGGCTGTTTTTTTTGTTCAGGCCTCGTGTGCCAGAATCAGTACTGTCTTTGAATTTAAGTATTGACCTTTCAACCCCGCATCCACACGAGTAGCAATCAAACRGCATCAGAGGAGGAAACGCTCATGCTGTGCGTTCATATCCTATTTTATCAAGTAAACATTTAATGTGTTTAAATTTACCACAGCTTTATTTATGCATMGAATCCGCTGTTAAGTCTGAATTATACATTAGCCGATGAATAATTCATCAGTGCCATTCTTTAATGATTACTTGCCAGGCAGCGAATGGTAATATTTGCTGATAAATTTGCCCATTGATCTTGCTTGTGTTTAATCAGGCTTGTAGAGATGATGTGTACTCCGTTTTCTGGTGAGTTTTTACCCCCTTTGTTTTCAAGGGTGTATTGAAAAAGCAAGCTAATTAGTTATTTTAAAAAGGTGCAAGTAATTTGCTTCAAGTTTGAATTTTATAAAAACTGAAGTCTGTCAATAGAGAGATCTTAAAAAYAACAACTGAGGTTCATGTAATAATATACATTTCTCTTTA